AAGATGCCCACATGGATCTGAAGCCCGAAGATGTGGCAAAGCATTTGAAGATGGAAGATCCAAAGCTTGAGACTGTCAAGAAAGGAGGTCCTTTCTACATGACAGCCCATATGCAGCAGATGATGGAAGAACAGGAGGAGGAAGATGAGGTTGGCCCAAAGACGCCAAAGCAAAGGCGCATTGCCAAGACACCTCCACCTCCTGAGAAGAAGGGCAAGACCAAGGAGGAGCGCATGGCCTGGTTCAAGAGCTCGACTGAAGAGCACCTAGAGCGATTCCGTGGACCAGGATCCAAGCCAGAGGAATCCAGCGAAGCGCCAAGGCAGACGCTTCGGCTGAAGTCCCGGTCACGATCCCCGGGCAAAAGCCGAGCCGCCTCGGCTCCGGCTGCCTCCGAGAAGGGCCAAGGAAAGGGCGAGCAGAAGAAAGTGCAGTTGACTCGAGCTGTCAACGTGGCCACTCAGGATGCTGCCCGTGAGGCCAAGAAGGGAAAGGGAAAACGATATCCCACTCCCTCAAGCGAGCCTGATGAAGGCGATGAAGATCCACTCGCTCTCAGGAGTTTGGAGCTGGCATCCATGGAGACGCCAATGGCTCATCAGGTGACCTTGGATTCAGGAGCCGCGACCTCCTGCATCCCTGTTGAACTGGCCACCGCATTGGGCTACAAGCCTATCCAGCCTGAAGGCACCTGCAAAGTCTACAAGACTGCGTCAGGCGAAGTGGTCAAGGACCTTGGCAAGATCGATGCCATGGTGACCATCGGCATCGGCCAGAACTCCCTCAATGGACGTTGCTGTTTCCGGGTGATGGCGGTTGCAAAACCGCTGCTCTCCGCGGGGGCCCTTATGAGCAAGGGCTGGCGCATTCAGACGCACGGATCTGGTGGGCAGATCTCCCGAGACGGGACTAAGATTCCGATCTCGTTCAGCAACGGCGTCTGTTCTGTGCCGCTTGCATGCATTCCACCCTTTCGTCCGGCGCCGCAATGGGTAAGTCCGGTAGTGGACGAGCAGGCCGAAGAGGCCGAGCTAGGCGACGAAGTGCCGCCTGAGCTCAAAATCCATGCTCCCATTCGCCCGACGCGAAAAGAGTTTGAAGAGCATGCTGTTTCACACTTCCCTTTTAGGTCTTGGTGTGAAGCCTGTGTAAGGGGAAAAGCTAAGGCAAACCCCCGCAGGAAGATAGACCACACCGATGAGACAACCCCAGTAGTGACTGTAGACTACTGTTTCATGAATTCACGAACTGATGATGTAGTTTTGGACGAGAAGACCCATGCACCAATTCTTGTTGTCAGAGATCGATGGACGAAGCATCTTTTTGCTCATGTGTTGCCCTACAAAGGTGTGACAAAAGGTCCATATGGATCCAAAGTACTTTTGAACGACATCAAGAAACTAGGATACTCCAAACTGATCATTCGACATGATCCTGAACCTGCTCTCACATCCGTTGTTGAGGCAGTAAAGAATCATGGGTTTGAAGGAACCCTGATCATCGAGAAGAGCCCGAAAGGAGTCAAAGAATCCAAGGGAGAGATTGAACGAGCAGTTCAAACCTTGGAAGGACAAGCCAGGACTCTTCGAGCCGCAATCGAGTCGAACTATGGTGAGAAACTTCCTGACGATTCACCTGTTTTGACTTGGTTAGTTGAACACGCATCCACAGTCTACAATCTGTTTTTCCGATCTACCGAACTTCAAGACGGAAAGACCCCGTATTCACGACTTCGTGGACGTGAATGGAAAGTAGCAATTCCACCATTTGGTGAGGCCATCGAATACCTCAAGAGAGGTCACAAGTTCGAGGCCCAATGGACCAAAGGAATTTTTCTAGGAGTGAAAGACACAACCACAGAGAAGATAGTAGGAAACGCCTGTGGCGTTTTCACAGTGCAATCCATTCGGAGAAAGCCAGAAGAAGATCGATATGATTCAGAGTTGCTGAAATCGATCACTGGAATTCCCTGGGATCCTCAAGCAATTCGCGAAGAACCAGCGATCGCAGCCCCAAGGGAACCAATCATTGCCAGCCCAAGTGGTGAAGCTTTGGTGCAACCACCGGCAATGGATGACAAGAAAAGAAAGCTGAGAAGGCTTTACATCACCAAGAAAGACCTGGAAAAGTTTGGGTATACTGCAGGTTGCCCAGCTTGTGATGCCACACAGATTGGCAAGAGATCTACAGGCATCCATCACACCAACAGGTGTCGAGACAGACTTGAAGAGAGCATCAGAGGAGAAGAAGAAGAGAACCCAAGAGTGGCAAGACATGAAAGCCGAGTTGGAGAGGCAATCACTGGCATGCCGCAACCCGTCAGTGGCAAGAGACCTCAAATCCTTCATGGATATGAAAGCAAAAGACCATCGGGAGTTCCCGATTCGTGTCGAGTGTTCGCACGACTTGACGTTGAAGCTTACTGTTTTCAAACCACCTTGCCAGGAGGACCTGATTGGTCTACCGTCTGGCACCGAGTCACAAGAAACCATGCAAACAACGCAATCATTGAGAGTGGAGTCGTGACAACAGACCTTCCACCAGAGATACTCAATGGAGCGTTACCGCACAAGATGGACATTGTGACAGAACTTTGGTACGAACCAGAAGCAGCACCACCAACACCAGGCACCGCATCAGCTTCAGCATCAGGTATTCGCAGACCACGCGAACCTGAACCACATGGAGAAAAGAGAGAACACGAAGAACAACATGAACCAGCAGGATCACCCACAGCAAAAGCCAGAATAGATAGAGACAAGAAGAGAAAGGCAGAAGGCGAACATGAAGATGAAGCCGAGAGAACAAGAGACATCCAAAGCATTGAGATGGCTCTAGAAAGCCTAATCCTAGACGACAGAGAGAGAGTGCTATCTAGCATCGACCCAGAGAAACCAGTGTGTGAAGAGAAGATCCCACTGCCAGAAGAAATGGCAGAAGAGGCAAAAGACTGGTGGTACTATGATGACATCAGTGGAAAAGAGCTGCTACCTGAGAAGGTAGAGAAAGCCAGAAAAGATGAAATCGACATTGTCGAATCAATGGGAGTTTGGGAAAAGATCCCAAGAAGCAAAGTTCCAAAAGGAACCAAAATCATTGGAACTCGATGGGTAGATGTGAACAAGCAAGATGAAACCAATCCTCTCTACAGAAGTCGATTGGTAGCGCAAGAGATCAAAAGAGGCTCAGGTTTTGACGAATTTTTCGCAGCCATGCCGAGCCTTGCAGCTTTGAAGCTACTGCTAACCATTGCAGTCAGCGACAGCCTTCCATTGGAGAAAGGCGAAAGAAGAAAAGCAAAGCAATCTTTCCTAGGATTTTTGGATGTGAAGAGAGCTCATTTCTACTCCAAAGCAACAAGAGAACTCTATGTTGAAATTCCATCAGAAGGCAAGAAACCAGAAGATGGAGATGTGGTAGGAAGATTGGTCAGAAGCCTTTACGGCACCAGAGACGCACCCATGAATTGGGAGCTGACCATTGCAGAGTTTATGAAAAAGCTAGGATTTGTTCAAGGCAAGTCCAATCCATGCATCTACTACCATGCATCCAGAGAACTTCGAACAGAGGTGCATGGAGACGATTTCACGACAGTTGGAAGTTTTGCTGACATTAAATGGTTTCACACTTCAGCAGCCAAAGAATGGCAAGTTGTGGAACGAGGCATTCTCGGTCCACCAGGTTCACCAAAGGCAAGCCAACAGATCAGAGTGCTGAATCGCATCATCACCTGGTCAAATGAAGGCATTTGGTGGGAACCAGATCCAAGACATGCAGAGTTGATCATCAAGTGGTTAGGCACTGGTCAACCAGGCAAGGTCAAGACCCCTTTGGCCAAGCCAAGTCAAGAGGAACTCCAACACGAAGAAGTTCCGCTGAGTGCCGAAGATGCAACGATGTATAGATCTATTGCTATGAGAGCCGCGTATTTGGCACAGGATCGACCTGATCTGCAAACTGCAACGCGCTCATTGGCACAAGGTCTACAGAACCCAACATCGAGGCACTGGAATATGCTGAAACGATTGGCTCGATATGTCAGGTATCGACCAAGAGTTGCACAGTTGTTTCCAAACCAAAGCACCTGCAACCCCTTCAACATGTGGTCAGACGCCGACCATGCAGGTTGCATAAGGACACGAAAGAGTGTGTCAGGAGGCGTGCTCATGGCCAACAAATGCTGTCTCACAACATACAGCAAAGGCCAAGGAGTTGTCTCCCTGAGCAGTGGCGAATCCGAGTACTACGGACTTGTTTCCGGAGCATGTCAAATGCTTGGAATCGCATCAACAGCAAGAGACTGGGGATTGTTTCCCAGCAAAGAGGTGACAATGGACGCTTCCGCTGGCATCGCCATGGGAAACCGTCGAGGCTTGGGACGAGCTAAACATGTTGACACTCAGTACCACTGGGTACAAGAGCGTACAGCAAAGAAAGAGTTTCGTCTCAAGAAAGAAGGCACCGACCGAATGTTGGCCGACGTGCTAACGAAAGCTGTCACCGAAGAGAAAATGACTACAGCTATGAAAGGCATGAACTTCCACTACCTGGAAGGTGAGCATGAACTGACTTTGAAAGCGTGAACGGCTTGAGCTAAAGTAGGTACTTCTACAAGACCAAGATGTACTGAAGGGCTATGGGCTAATTCACTAAAAGTGCTAATCCTGACTCGGTTAACATCTCCCAGAAGTTAAACTCGGGAGGCGTGATCAGATGTAGCACCAGTTACATGTACATGACATAGCTTGTATAGATGTATGTTTCACTGCAGCCGTTTGTTCAAGTCTGTGGTTTACTTTTGTGTTCATTTCGATACCAGAGCTCAGTCAAACGTGAGCTAAAAACGGGCCTAAGCTTCTACTCCAACCTTTGGGACAGTGACTTGGGGTCACAGAGTTTAAGAGCCTAAATTCTCCGTTCATACTGTATACACACCCCATCAGTATTTGTTAGGCTGTTTGGCTACGCTGTGCTCTTTGCTCCTCCAATCATCGAGCTGAGGCGTGACCGAGGACGGGAGAGCGAGGCTTGGTTATTCGCACATTGCTTGTGTCATTGCAAGATTCTGATCGAACTACTTCAAGGATTCTAAGGGCCCAAGAGAGCGTTTAGTCTGCAAACCTTGCGAACTTTGAGTTTCCAAAAAAAACAAAATTACACCTGCATGGACTCCAGATAGCGGGCGCATAGGTTTGAAGGACACGTGACGCACGGCTGTCACCGCAGCGCGCAACATCAGACCAGTCCAGAATGCACCCCCGCTTTGCCCAACACAGACGTAAAACTGAAAGATCGGCAAGGGCCAGCAAAAGCTGCCCAAGCGACATTGAGGTCATTGCTGCACAACACGTTGTCACGCGCAATATGACAGCATGTCATCCCTGGCACATCACGCCATCCCTGGCATGACATGATGTCATCCCTGGCATGACATGACGTCATCCTTGCCGTGATGTCATCCCTGGCTTGACATGATGTCATCTATGCCATAATGAATCATAGTGATGTCGTCCCTGGCAAGACATGATGTCATCCCTGGCATGACATGATGTCACCCCGCATGCCACGATGTCACGCATGGCATGACATAATGTCATTCTGAGCACGACATGATGTCATCCCTTGCGTGACATGATGTCATCCCTGGCATGACATGATGACACCCCTGGCACGACATGATGTCATCCCCTGGCATGACATGATGTCGTCCCGACACGATGTCGCCCCTGGCACTATACAGGAAACGATCAATGTGTCACAGGCACCACTACCAACATCCAGCGCCAGCAGAAGCACGGCAGCAGCAGCCAAAACGCCGACCCAGAGCCAGCACTTGCACCTGCACCAGCACCAGCATGGCAGCAGCACCAGCAAAACCAAAACGCCGATCCGCGGCCACACCATTGAGAAGTAAAAACCTTTATAGCCTGCAGTTATTTTAGTTATTTTGGGACCAAAAAAATGTTGCGCAGGCCATGGGAGGAAGAGGGGGTCAGGCAAACAAAGTCTTGTCACAATTGTGTTTTATTGAAATTCCCTTCGGGGGAAGAGGGGGTGAGGCAAAGTCCTGTCACGTTTGTTTGTTTGTTGAATCTTTTGGGGGGGGGGAGAAGACGTGAGGCAAAATATGTTGTTTTTGCGGCACAGCAAGCAAGGATGCAAAGAAAGCAGTGAGAGAGACAGCGTTCAACAGTCCAACAGCTAGAAACCAAACACAGATAAGGTCACACAATGCAACTGAGAACGTTCCTTTTTGGAGTTTTTACCAAGTGGACCACTTCAGAAGGCCAAAGAGTCCAGAACACGACCTGAAGACCGCGAAGGTCGTGAGTCGCGACAGTCGATCGCCTCAGATTACTTTTAGAAATGGACAAATGAGATCCAGACACAATTTTTGCACCAGAACAAGCATGTGTTTGTGACGCACTTGTCGCGCAGACATGCATGTGACGTTTTGATACAACACGCGCAAGTGGCGCTCACGCAAGTCTCAGGCCTCACAGATCCGATTCGCTCACCGATGTGCGTGAGGACCGACATCCCCATTTGGTGTGACGAAATGCTTACTTTAGCCGCAGGCTCCAAACCTGTAGATTCAGGAGGTTCAACAAGTTCAACACAAGCCAATCCATTTTCCTGGCCTGGTTCCCAAAAGCTCCACACATACATTAACCAGTGCAGACCTGATTGAGCTAAGGTGGAGACCCACTGGCCAAACTTGCAGTGCCTCCTCCAGGTGAGCTTTGATGGTCCAAAGCGATCTGAGGATTTGGTGACAGATTCTGACTTTCACCGAAAGTTGCAAGTCGCAAAGTTAGGGGTTGACGGTTGACAGATTAGATTCTCTTGCAGAAACAGCACGACCGAGCCAGCCAAAGAAGAAGAAGTTGAGAACTTAGCAGCTTAGTCCCCAAGTAGGCCACTACCGTTCAATGTGCAGTTGAGATTCAAAACTCTTTACCCATAGAATATAGATTCATTAGCTCAGCCAAGCATGATCCTATTTTGCCTGTGCTGCGTGTTGATGGGACACATACTACAAAGTTGAAGGAAGGCACCAGAAGGCGTTCTTGGCTTGGCAGTGGAGCTGGCTGGTTATTGGGCTCAAACGGGTTATGGCGATGTCCAATTAGTAGGACAGCATTGCATGATTTTGATAGTGTATCATGCGAGACAAAGTTGGGGCCTCTCATGCCTGCCAGGCGTCTGCAGAACCACTTCAGAGGCCAGGACCAGTCACTGTCCCAAGCCCAGCAATGTCTTGACAACTCACAATACCCAGCTTGTTCTGAAAACAGACATGCAGATTTGGTGAAGCCGTTTGTTTAAGACCGACCCTTCTTGTGAATCACAACGTGCACCAGGTCTTTGCCGCGCAGCCCGGGCCGGTAACCCTTCTTCAGCCCAGGTGACTGGCATTTGTTTCAGAAGCCAGTTTCAAATTTATGTTTGGGTTAGTTGAAGGATTGATGCAGTTTGCTTAAAGATGCTTAAAGTGTATTGCCAATGTCAAGATGGAGTAGAGCAAGTATCACCCTTCTGCCAGTCCTTCGTCACCTCAGCCCAATGCACCCGCAGGGGATCTTGGAGCTATTCACCATCATTCACTTGCTAAATGCGAAACATATAGAAACCAAGACCAAATGCGTTCCTGAACTGGGACCAGGTATCTGCTTCCGTGCCTCTTTCAACCGCTCCAATGCCGGCAGTGATGCCAGAGGGATTGGATTGGATTTGTGAGGCCGATTCACAAAGGTTTGAACGATTCACAAAGGTGTTTGCAGGTTTTCGATGCTTTGAGCTGCAGGTTTGCATGAGAAAGTTCTCTTCGGAAGAAGCTTTGCGCACCTCAGAGAGCATTGGTGTTTCTTTGTCGAAGGCACCATATGAGGACAGGCTTTTAAACTTGATTTAAAAGCTTAAACTGCAAGACCTCTCCAGAAACAGTTTATTGTATCCGCTCTCAAGGCAAGCACGAGCAGCTGTCCGAACTGCGCGCCTGGCAGAGTTCTTACCGAATGCAGCGAGAATGGAACTTGTATCAAGCTGAGTGAGTGGCATTCTTCAACTGCATCATTCGATCATTCAGGTAGACTGACTAGTCCCCTTTAATCAGAAACTTCTTTGGTATTTTGGCTTCGCTTTCAATGAAGGAGAGTGGGAAGCGCTGGGCAGACCGATGGCGTTCAACCCGGAATATCAGCATTGTACGGTCGTTGACCAAACATTTCCAAAGTCATCGCCCAGACTTTGTTCAGTCATTTCTGCCTACGCATCCTGGTTGAATTTGGCCTATATAATTTGCTGAACTCGGCAGCCATATTTTTTGCCGCCTCGGGTGAGTAGCAACAGTGCCACCATCAAAATAGAATATGTCAAACCACCTGGTGGCATTTGTGGGTTGGTTTTATATAGACTTGTCGGTGTGGGGACTTTAACATGAACGCCAGGCACAAGCAGAACCTCATGAAGCTTGGCACGTGAGCCGACGCGATGGTGAAGACAAGAGCAAGCAGCAAGGGATGTGGTGAAGACAAGAGCAAGCAGCAAGGGATGGAGTTGGCTTGACATGTGTCAGCTATGTAGCAATGTTGCCCTGGAGCAAAGTGCATATATATATATACTATATATACCTATATAATATATATATATATACTGTTAATCTTTCTTTCACTGAAGAAAACCTACGGAACCCTGTCCGACCTAACAGGTG